CGGGGAACGTTGGTTTCCTCCGTCACTGAAGCAAGCAAGCCTCATGTTAGTTTCAAGCTGCCTGGCTGCCGGCCACCATCTTGGCTGACAGTTAATTTGCATATCTCGCTGATTAGCCAATGAAAAGGGTAGCGGTCGTATGCCAATTACCATGTTTCTCTTTTATTAGTGTAGATTCTTGAGCCAGATTTGCCTTAAAAGCTGTTTGCAATAGTGAAAGGAAGAAATACAATGTCTAAAGGGAAGTAATGTCCTACTTCCACATAATGCTCCATGGGAAACACCCCCCTTCCTTTTTTAAGCTAAAGGAAAAGGAAAATGAAGAAAACTTTCAAAGTTTAAATAGGTAAAAGAAAGAGAAATCCTAAGTATTCAGATCCAACAAAGGAGAAAGCAACTTTTTTTTCAGAATAAGAACAGAGATTCATCTTATGTAAAAGGGATTTTTTAAAATTTGACTTTTTATGGTGTTTGGAAGAAAGGATTGCTGTACTCAGGAAGAGACAGCCTGCCGACCCTTGTGAGGCGCCATAGGCAGGGAAGTGGCAGCAGCATGAGCCAGGGATGAAGAACTTGGGTATATTATTGTGGGCGTCCAATTCACTGGGCCATCCAGGTAAAAATCAACTGTGGGATTCGCACTAAACCCTCTCTCAGTGTCAATGACTGTTCACTGGCACCTAAAATAGAGGGAGGATAGAAATGGGGATGGGGGAGGGGAGAAAGGAGCAAACATCTAAAAATAGACAAGTTGGCTCATTCTATAAAAGAGATTAAAATAAAAGCTTGGATTCTCAGATTCTCAGCAATTCCAGTTATATAGCCTATTTGTTCTTGTCCTATATAAAACAGGCCAAAGTTGGCTATAGATGAACAAAAGCTGAAGTAACCTTCCAGTAGGAAAATCAGAAAGGCAATCCAAAAGTCATAAGTGTGTGCTTTCTTTGTGGAAAAGAAGTCCAACTAGAATGTTCTATGAATATCATAAATGAGAAATGTTTTTGTTTAAAATCCTAAGTATCTCTCAGCTTAAGACAATGATGTACTCTTTAGGCAAAATCAAGCCTCCTAGCGTAGAGGCGGGGGCGGGGGGTTGGCGAGGGAGGGGAGCAGCAGCATTTGGGTATAGGATTCAGAATTTGGATTTAGGAGGACCAGCTGTTAGAGTTTCCTCTTTGCTTCTTGGTGCTAGGATTGTTAGGGCTGGAAGTTGAGTCTGTGAGTGCGTCCTGTCTCCCCACTGGTCCCAGCTTCTCCTGGCGATAATATGATGTGAAAACATCAGGATCAGTGCCCACTTGGCTGCAGCCCTCTGGGCACTGTCCCTTATTAACATGTAGAATGCAGTGAACCTGGGAGCTTATTTGACAGTTACAGAATATCACAAAGCTGGTCATAGAGTCTGGCCACACTCTTAGTATTTGCATAATATGTTACTGTCCTGACCAAGCTCATCAACATTTCTGCTGTGCAATCATTCTTGACCAGAAAAATGAACTGCAGACAGTAAGTGACTTTCACAGGCACGGAGCGTACGCAGGCCAATACTTAACTACTCAGTTCCTGAAATTTGTGCCTGATGTTCCAAGAGCCAATGAAAATTACTCTTTAATGTTTCTTTAAATATATAGAGCTAAGGTCTAGCTCCATGCCAGTAAATAAACAGTTTTTCAAAAGCTCTATATTCCCTCTAAACAATAACAGCATTTTTTGTTGAGGGAGTAAAACAATGTTTTTAAATGTTTCCTGGTCTCTAGTGAGACCAAATGAAATTTCAACAGATTTTCTAAAAGAATTTTAAAAATTATTTGGAATCTAACAAGGAAGAAAACTTTTCATTTAAAGGTAAAATATTTCCAAGTGTAAAATGTACTGGGATGTAGATATTTTCCTTCAACAGTGATCATGTAGTGTTTGTGAACCCATACCAATAGAAAAAACAATGCCACTGACATTACACTGTGCAACCTACATCAATAACAGCCATATCTGGGTAATCAGGGCTCACAAGTGTTGTTAAACCTGCTAATGCCTGAGTTCCTCATCCAAATCTTTGAAGGATTTGCTTTATTTCCTAATAGTTTCGATATAACATGAATTTAATTCAGCTTCAAGAAATGCCCAATTTTGAAATAGCAGAGATGCTGAATGCTAAATTTAGATAAGTAAAAAAAACCAACAAAGATTCACAATAAAGAATTTTACTCACTGGCTGTTAATTATTATCAGTGTCATCAGTGCTTAATTTTTATGAATACAAATTTTTTAAATTATTTCTAACTCAATGCTCTACTTTTAAAAGATTATCTACACTAATAAAAGAGGAAGATGGCCGAAACCGGTTTGGCTCAGTGGATAGAGCGTCGGCCTGCGGACTGGGGGGTCCCAGGTTCGATTCCGGTCAAGGGCATGTACCTGGGGTGCAGGCACATCCCCAGTAGGAGGTGTGCAGGAGGCAGCTGATTGATGTTTCTCTCTCATCGATGTTTCTAACTCTCTATCTCTCTCCCTTCCTCTCTGTAAAAAATCAATAAAAATATATTTTTTTAAAAAAAGAGGAAGATGTAAATTGACCATACCTTCGCGATGCCCACCAGCCAATCAAGAGTGAGTATGCAAATTAACACAACAAAGATGGCGGGTTAATTTGCATACACAGGCGCCAAGTGGCCAGGGGCATTCCTCACCTCCCCAGCTGCTCCAGGCCTCTGGGCAGTGTGGGAAGGCGGAAAGGCGGCTTCAGGCCGGAGCAAAGGCATAAAGGTGGCTCTGGCCGGAATGAAGGCGGTGGCGGCAGCCAGGGGAAGGAAGGCCCATTCTTGCACAAATCTTTGTGCATTGGGCCTCTAGTTTAAAAATAAAAGGTAGAGATGGTCTCACATATTATCTCAATTAGCTGTGGGGTGGAGGATTAGGGGTCAATGGTTAATTTCCAGTTAAGGAATGGGAAAAGCAGGACCTACAGAGATATCGAGATATTTTCCCAGATCCAGAGTGACTCCTGGAGGAACCAGGACCCGAAACAGGTGGCCTAAGTGTCAACATGGTACAGTGGAAGACTTGAACCAAGCCCCTCGAGCTCTGTAAACCTCATTTAACTGCGAAAGTGATGGGTAACATTTTACATATCTCAAAAGGTTGTTGGGAATAAAGTCAGATAATTGTATGAAAGTACTCTGTTACAGAAAATAGCAGGCAATTTTTATTCTGACTCATGCGCTTTCCTTTAGTTTTTCTTCCTTTTATTATTTATTTTTAAAGCTGCTCATTTCAGTCTTAATTGGTGCTAACTGCATTATCACTGAAGAGACATTTCTAAAAACTAACACTCATTTTATTTCAAGCATATATTTATTTTAAAAATAGTGCCCTACTCATGCAACCATCACTTTTAACACAAGGACAATTTCATTAAGTGAATACCCTTTGCAGTATATTTTTTAATCTTTTTCCATAAAAGATGTGAACTGGGCAAAATAGGCATCTTATAAAGAGTATAAATCATTCAATAATAGTTAGGACTGAGTTTGAATTCACTTTTTAAGAGTAAACTCTGGCCGAAACCGGTTTGGCTCAGTGGATAGGGCGTCGGCCTGCAAACTCAAGGGTCCCAGGTTCGATTCCAGTCAAGGGCATGTACCTGGGTTGTGGGCACATCCCCAGTAGGAGATGTGCAGGAGGCAGCTGATCAATGTTTCTCTCTCATCGATGTTTCTAACTCTAAATCTCTCTCCCTTCCTCTCTGTAAAAAATCAATAAAATATATTTTTTTAAAAAAAGAGTAAACTCTGGCTGTGATGCTGCATTATAGGAAGGTGGAACCTGATCTCTCAGGGATGTGATCTGTAAACAGAGCATTGAACTGGGGGCCAGTGGACTTCTAGGCCAGGCAATTTGGAGGTTGTTTCATCTCCATCTTAAAAAACTGATTAGGATCTACCAAAAACCCATGTGGCAGGGACAGCTAGTTCACAAAAATCCAGCTTCCCTTCCATTCAGTTGTCAGTGGAAGACAGCTGCTCTGCCAGGGATGACATTTCTCCTGCCTGCATCTAGGGAGAACCATGGGGTTAATTCCTACCTATGGAATAGGTATGGAACTTCTGTGGGTCACTACTGAGCCAGGTTTGTGTGTGTGTGTTTTGTTTTTAAGTGGTGCCTGCTCCAATCTCTCTTTCTCTGCTTATTGGCTGGATCCAAAGAGCTCCAAAACTCTAGATAGGACCACAGATGGAAGGCCCCGGAGTCCCTGAGTCACTGCATGGAGCAAAGCTGCCCTGCCCACTGACCAGGTAGGTAATTTCTGCACAGGAGCATTCTGTAAGTGAAAATAAACTTTTACCGTGTTAAGCTACACTATAAGTTGAGGTTAAAGTTATTACAGCAGCCAGCTAAGTGACACACACTGTTATTAAGAGTGATGATATATTAAATATGTCTTTTAAAAAGTAAATAGAGCCCCGGCCAGTGTTCTAAGTGGTTAGAGCATCAGCCTGGGCACCAAGGGGTCAAGAGTTTGATACCCAGGGGCAAGTACCTGGGTTGCAGGCTTGAGCCCCAGACCTGTCGGGGCATGTGTGAGAGGGAACCAATTTGTGTGTCTCTCTCTCACATCCATGTTTCTCTCTGTGTCTCTCCCCCTCCCTTCCTCCCTTCCATTCTCTCTAAAAATCAATGGAAAAAATATCCTTGGGTGAGGATTAACAAGAAAAAGCAGAAAAGTCCTTGTTCTTAAAAACAACAACACGTGTTACCTTTATCACAATTGACTCCATAGAATCCAGGTGGGCAGATGCAGAAACCAGGAGTAACACAAAGCCCGCCATTCATACATCGTGGTGTGCAGAGGGCTAGTAGGGAGAGAGAGCTCTGATTAAGGCCAAGTAGGGTTTGGGGGCAGCAGCATTTTAAAAATGTCAATACGATAACAGGTCTACATTTTCAAGCTTGCTGGTTGACTAAAAAACTGTCACTCTTAAGAGATGTAAGTTAAATTAAATTACATCTAAATTAAAATTTATTTTTGTGCTATAAATAAGAATGTTTTTTCATAATGGTTTTTTTTAACCATTTTCATGGAAGAGAATTTTGGAATTGTTCTCTTTGAATGACTGATGAAAATTTGCCCAGAATTATTATTTCAACTAAGATGTAGTCTTAAGACTGTAAATATTTTTTTCCTGCCCTATTTCCTTGGTTTACTAAAATAAAATGCAAACAAGACAAATTCTTACTTTTTGAAAATGAAAAATATATTCATTATTTTGGTCAAATAAACTCTTAGTATTTAAGTATATTGTGGTTAATACACATTTTCTCTTTTTTTAATCTCTTTTTTTCATATAACTTCCTTAATAGCGATTTCACTTAAATGGATGTACTCACTACACAAATGATATTCATCTTTTTAAAATTTTTTGCCTTAAAGAAACTTCATAACTCAGGGATAGACTTAATTGTGAATTAAGTTACTTTTAATTGGAGAAGAAACTTTCAAATCAATCAGAATACTAGCTTTTAAAATGCAACTTAGGTAGAGTGAAAAAAACTCAAAATTTTTATAAGATAATGTCAAAGTATAGTGTATATAATCGTTAATATTTTTCGGGGTCAGGGCAAGGGAGGAGTGGTCACAAAAAATGTACACATTGCGCCAAAGTTCTCTGACCCTGTCACCACATATTTGGATTTAACAAAAAACCATTCCTAGACGAAATAATTTCCAATAGCTCTTCTGTGGCTTTTTGAAGATTTCGTCAACCCTTATAATGTGACCAGAAAAATAATTTCAGGATGTGTTAAAAGTTCACGTGGGGCTCCTGTGTGACCTCCATGTCCTTAGGGAGCAAGCCAGGGAAGCGCCTTTACCTTTCTCACAGTGAGGGCCATAGAATCCATCAGGGCACTCACAGACACGCCTCTCATTACAAAACCCTCCATTTCGGCACCCTCCTGGGCATTCAGCTTCACCAAAGAGAAAGAAACAAGATTAAGTGGACACCTTTGAAATGTTGGGTTAACTACAGCGAGCATGAAGAGGGAGTGGTCATTTTCCACAGTGTACCAATGATCATAATTCATTGAATACCGATACTTCTACCCCTTTCTCTCTAAACCACTTGGACTTCAAGTCTTCTTCAAAATAAGATTGTGTATCTCTCAATCTGACTTCGAACAGTAGGGGACTCATGGAAGAAGGCAAAGGAAGCCTTATTCTGCCGTCATCCCCAGCTATCAATCTACTGTACCTGCTTAATTTCATGCTGAAATGGAGTGAATGACCATGCTCTCAATATTCACTCTCAGAGGGTGGAATGATCTCTTGGTGCATCTTTACAGCACGGAAAGTTTCCAGAGCTTAAATTCTATGCTGGAAAAGTTTGTACCAGGATGGGAAAGGAGCCAGGCCTGCATGCTTAAGTGGGCATCCAGAGTGTGGGGATGAGGTGCCTTTGCCTGGTGGAGATCGCAAGCATAATGGTGGCACCCTGTCCTCCATGGAAGTCAGCAGCACCAAGCTTTGGGCAGGGGAGTGGGGAGTGTTGCCTTGACGGGTGGCAGTTGATGCTATGACTGCCAACCTTGCTATGGGGATCCAGAACAAGAAAAGGGGGGAAGTCATGACCATAGGTGAGATACCCCTGAGGACTCCCAAAGGATGCATTGGACGAGGGGAAGGAGGGAGGTAGAAGGCAGGGCATTCTAAAGGAGGTATTACAGTTCCTAAAATAGGAGTGGAATCAACGCAGAGAAAGTCTTTCTAGGTACAGTTACTGGCCCCTGTGTGTATCACCCGCTCCTCCCATTGGTATTATTATAATTACACTAACACTTACCTACCTACTTACCTACCTACCTACCTATAATTTTTGACCCAAATCACACCTGGAAGCCTTATGAGCTTTCTCTTGAGTCACCATCACTGATTACCTTGTTGACACGTTTTAAAGAAGATAGCATTCTGAGGCGTTTGTAGGATGGTGTTGCCTTCAGAGTTCATTACAATCACATTCACTTCAAATGCTGCCACTCCATCTTGTTTTCCAAGGCATGGGAAACCAACCTGAACAACTAAAGAAAAAGGAATTATTGAGAAATTGTTTATCCATTCCCTTCCAGTTTTACAGAAATCCTGGTAAGAGAGACAAAGAACAAAGCAATCATGTTCACATTTCATTATTTGACATCCTTGTACCTCCACTGAAGTAGGGAGTGCATTTTGGTCATCTGGACATTCTCCACAGAACTTGTACATGATGCTGGGTGGAGAAAGAATGGATTACCCTACTAATATGGAATTGGGGATATTTTGTTTGTAGTCCGGCTTGTACTATCCCAAAAAGATTTTCTCTGAAAAGTAAAGGTACAAATAGGCAGCATAGATTAATTAGTCAGGGGGAGAAATTTAGTGGGTGTCTTCACCAGCTTCCATATAATCCAAAAAACAACGAAAACTCAGCATTTGCGAATCCATTCAATAAAGCCCTAAAAGCAATACCCCACTAGTTTACTCTGTGTGCTTGAAAGCGACAAAGTACCTTCTTTGGAAATATTCTGTAAATCAGACTCGACTCCAATCACTGAACTGAGTTAGTGAAGTTAATATTTCCTCAGGCTATTGGTTAATATTAAGAAGTGTCCATATCTTGGGGAATCTAGAAGAGAGGTTGGTGTGATTAAAATAATCTCATGATAGCCTTATTTCTAACGGTGTAGGTTCCTACAGAGGAGGCCCCCTCTATTTTGTGAGTCTAGTCATCACTTAGGGTGTGTATGTGCTGACTTAGGAACTAACGGTGCCGAACAGAGAGGGCGAGAAGGACACCAATGGTGGGAATTGGCTCAAGTCACTGGCTGAGAGACTGATCATGTAAATGTCTAAAAGCCACTTGATTATCATAACATATCTACTGGGACTGATCTAGCTGATCCATTAGACTTTAGTTCTTCCTTAGAAATAGGAAAAAATATGGCTAAGAGATATACACATGAAATTTTGCTTCACTTTGTTTTTGTGTGGCAGGTAATAGCTACTGCCAAGTTTGGGAAAGGTATGCCAAGCCAAGAAAAATCCTTTCCCTTTAGAGTTTTCATAAGCCTTTCCCTTAGGTTTATAAGAAAAAATGGGCTGGAAATTGGTCTGCTGTTTTCCATATGTCACTGCACACAAGCTTGGTCATACAATCTTAACGTGCTTTGGCAACCAATACTCCTCGCAAGATTTTGGCATTGTCACTGCTCATTACTGTTCCAATCTCAAAGTAACATGGATTTCCAGTCCTCCTTAACCTTAAGATGTTAGCACTGCAAATAATCAATTATGTGATGAAAAGGATATACAGATATTTTAACAGAATAAAAAGAGAAAGCTGAAGGTGTGTCTGTCCCCGTTGAAAGCCTTGGTTTCATAGAAACATGAACAGACTGTTAACCTCAGAGGGAAGGTGGGTGGGAAGAGGTCAACCAATGAACTTATATGCATATATGCATAACCTGCGGATACAGACAATATGGTGGTGAGGGCCTGGGGGGCAGGGAGGGGGCGGTGGAAGCAGGCTGGAAGAGGTTAATGCGGGGAAAAGGAAGACTATGAAATACTTTCAACAATAAAGATGTGTGGAAGGAAGGAAGGAAGGAAGGAAGGAA